GGGGCAGGGGCAGGGGTTGTTCAAGGTCAGGGGTGCAGGCGGGGCCCGGATTGAGGGGGCGCGAGCACCCCCTGGCCAGCGGTCAAAAAATTCGAGGCATGGCCACCCAGCCAACAGAACTCTGTCGGCTGGGTGGCCATGGGAGGTGACCGGCGACCGACCCCCGCTGCGCGGGGCGCCCCGAAGGACCGCTGCCCGCGGGAATATTCTCTGCACTGTACGCGGGGCGACTCGCGTGTGCCGCGCAAGGTGCTTCGTGCAGGGAGCCAATTTGCAGAGTGCCAGAGGTTTGCGGGTGCACCACCCCACCTGAACAGCAGCACGTCCCCCTCCTTCACAATGTACTCCTTGCCTGCAGGCAGCGCGTGCGGCGCACATGTGTTGATGGCGACGGGTGGTCGAGTAGGGGTGATGGGCGATGCGTGCGCGCGCGTGCGCGCGCGTGTGTGTGTGTGTGTGTGTGTGTGTGCGTGTGTGTGTGTGTGTGCGTGCAAGTGAGTGTGAGTGTGTGTGCGCGCGGGCAAGCGCGGGCAGGCATGCGGAGCATGTGTGTGTGCGCGCATGCGTGTGTGCCTGCATGCGCATGCGCCTGAGGCATACGTGGCCCCCCGACCCACCTTCCAAGCGCAGGGCGCCGGCCTCCTTGGCGCCGCCGTAGCCGTTGTACTTCAAAAAGTCGTCATAAGCAATTGTCTCAGCCCGGATGAAGCCCTGCGCGTCAAGGGTACGCAAGGCGAGAGAAAACCGGCGTCGAGGCACGGCCAGCAGTGAAGCGCGCTACCTCGGGGGGCCGGCGGCTGGGTGCGAGCACGGCTGCAACAAGGGCCGCTTGGTTTGCTCACAGGCAGCGCGGGTGGCCCACACCCTCGCAAAGGGGGGTTGACGCCTGCTGGAGAGGTGCCCGCTCCGGCTGTCATGTCAGCCGAGCGGCAGGTCAAAGCCGCTGCCCTGGGCGGCACCTTTTGCACCTCGCCCCCCCCCCCCCAGGCCAGCACCACTTTGACCGGCCCGCAGCCCGGCGTCCCCATCCAAACCGCCCAACCCCGCTGCAACTCAGAGCCAACACCCTGGTTTGCTGGCTGCCGCTCCCCGGCCTTCAGGCCCCGCTTCAAGGGGATCTCACGGGGCCACGGCCTCGCGGCCCGGCAGGAGAGAGCCTCTGCCGCGGCCCCAGCCGCCGCGGCCCCCAGTGCCCCGTCACGCAGGGTATGGAACCGCCAACAAGGTCGCCAGGCCCCCTCCCCCTGGCCCTGCCCCCCCACCTTTTCGAAATCCGTGTGGATGACACCCGCCGCCTGCGGGGCCGTCATCCCCTGCCGGATAGTCCACGCCCGAGTCTCCTTCTCGCCTGCGCGCACGCGATGCGCAGGGC